TTCCTTCCTTCCTTCCTTCCTTCCTTCCTTCCTTCCTTCCTTCCTTCCTTCCTTCCATTTTTTTGGGGACAGGGTTTCTTTGTGTAGTCCTGGCTGTCCTGGAACTAGCTCTGCAGACCAGGCCAGCCTCTAACTCATGGAGGTTCACCTGCCTCTTCTTCCTAAATGCTGGGATTAAAGGTGTATGCCACCACTACCTGGCAGACAAAATAATTTTTATAAAACAATTGAACAACAACAACAACAAAACAACCCTATAGCTTCCTATCTATATTTCACCTTGCACTGACTACTGCCATTCTACTTTCTGTTTGTTTGACTTTTTAACTACATTAAGTACCTCATAGAAGTGGAATTAGGAAGTATTGTTTTTTGGGAGGGGACTGGCTTTAGTTGGCACAGTATTTTTTTTTTTTTGGTTTTTCGAGGCAGGGTTTCTCTGTGTAGCTTTGCGCCTTTCCTGGAACTCTATTTGTAGACCAGGCTGGCCTCAAACTCACAGAGATCCGCCTGGCTCTGCCTCCCGAGGGCTGGGATTAAAGGCGTGCGCCACGACCGCCCGGCAACACGGTATTTTTTAAAATTTAAGTTGATTTGACTGATACATTAGAAAAATAAAAAATTCATAAGTATGCTGTTTTGATATATATGTTTTGTATATTGTTTGAATCAAGTTAAATATGTCCTTATTTATATTTGTTTACATTAAAAATTCTTACAGCTTTCTGAAATGTATGGTACATTATATATAGTCAATCTTGGCATAATGTTAAGGTGTATCCATAGTAGTACATGTCAGAAATTCCTTGTCTTAAGATAGAATTCTGTTGTAAATAAATATCACATTTTGGTCATCCATTCATCTGCCTGTGGACATATAGGTCCTGTCTTAGAGTTTCTATTGTTATGAAGAGATACCATGACTGAACTCTTATAAAGGAAAGCATTTAATTAGGGCTGGCTTACAGTTCAGAGGTTTAGTCTGTTATCTTCATGGTGGGAAGCATGGCATCATGCAGGCAGGCCTGGTATAGGAAAAGTAAGTGAGAGTTCTACACTTGCTCCCCAGGCAGCTGCAAGAAGAGACAGTATCACACTGGCTGGGCTTGAGCATCTGGAACCTCAAAGCCTGCCCCCAGTGATATACTTCCTCCAAAAAGACCACACCTCCTCCAACAAGGTCACACACATCTAATAATGCCACACCCCATGGGCTTGTGGGGACCATTTTTATTCAAACCACCAAAGGTCCTTTCCACATTGTAATTATTGTTATGAACATGAGTGTACAAGTATCTCTTTGAGTCTGTTTTCCTATCTTTTAGGCATATACCCAGAAATGAAATTGCTGGTGTGTGTAGTAATTCTGACTTTAAATTTTTGTTTTGGTTTTTGAGACATGGTTTCTCTGTGTAGTCCTGGCTGTCTTAGAACTTGTTCTATAGAATAGGCTGGCCTTGAATGGACAGAGATCTACCTGCCTCTGCCTCCTGAGTGCTGGGATTAAAGGTGTGCACCACCATCGTCTGGTTCTCTACTTTTAATTTTTTTTAATAATTTATTTTTATTTAATATGCATTGGCGTTTGGCCTGCTCATATGTCTGTGTGAAGGTGTAAGATCCCCTGGAACTGGAGTAACAACAGACAGTTGTGACCTGCCATGTGGATGCTGGGAATTGAACCTGGGTCCCCTGGAAGAACAGTGCTCTTACCCACTGAGCCATCTCTCCTCTCCCTACTTTTAATTTTTTTGAAGAACTTCTATGGTGATATATTGTTTGTAATCTAAGAAATAAAGCTTTCCTGAAGATCAGAAGACAGAGCTAGCCACAGAGTTAGCCACAGAAGTCAGGCAGTGGTGGCGCACACCTTTAATTTTAGCATTCCGGGGGGCAGAGGCTGAGATCAGTCTGGATTTCTGTGAGTTCAAGGCCACACTGAGCTACATGAGATTAATCCAGTCTAAAAGAGAAACAGAGCCAGGCAGTGGTGGCACACACCTTTAATCCCGGCACTAGGAAGGTTAAGACAGGAAGTGATATGGCTGAGCAGAGAAAGGAATATAAGGTAGGAGGAGACAGGAACTCACTCTCTTTTCAGGCTAAGGAGTTGGTGAGGTAAGAGGTGGTGGCTGTGGCTTGCTCTGTTTCTTTGATCTTTCAGCTTTCATCCTGACATCTGGCTCCAGGTTTTTATTATAAGACCATTTAGAATTCAAGCAACAAACTGCCATTCTGTTTTCCACAGTAGCTACCTGCTGTTAAGTAGTATGTCTGTTTGCATGGGTTTAATACAGTTGGCTATTGTGTAGAGTTCCTCAATTTTCTGCTATCTGGCTGCTGTAATATTATAACTGTCCTTTTCCTGATTGCCTGGTTTCTAAAATAAAAATGGAGCATAAAAGGTCACTAGCCCTTTATGTCTTATGGAAACCCCTTCAGCTGGGATAAGTAGAAAGAAGTCTAAAGACTTTTTTTTCCCCCCTTCGTTTTTTTGAGACAGGATTTCTCTGTGTAACAGTTTTGGCTGTCTTGGAACTAGCTCTGTAAACCAGGCTACCCTTGAACTCACAGATTCACCTGCCTCTGCTTCACCACCACCACCACCACCACCACCACCACCACCACCACCACCACCACCACGGTTGTAGACAGAAGTTTTCCTATATCCTGTCTGGCCCCACACCCGCTTAGTCCCAAGTAAACACAGAGAGGCTTATATTAATTACATACTGTATGGCCTATGGCTCAGGCTTCTTGCTAACTAGCTCTTTCATCTTAAATTAACCTATTTTTATTAATCTGTATGTTGCCATGTGGCTATGGCATTACTGGTCTGCTGGCATCTTATTGCTCCTTGGGTGGCGGGCTGGCATCTCTTCTCCCCACCTGTCTCTTTCCTGTATATCTGCTTGGATTTCACACCTGTCTCTAAGCTGCCTTGCCATAGGCCAAAGCAGCTTATTTATTAACAAATGGGAACAACATATATTCACAGCATACAGAAAGACATCCCATAGCACACTGCCCCACAACTTCTTGTCCTTTATCTGCACCTCTGTGATCAGAAGCAATATCAGCCATCAGAGCACACAGATGCCATATACAGAGTCCTTTTTTCTTCACCCAGACTTCACCAGATAGCTGTGGTTGTGCCAAGAGCTGAACTTGACTGAAGTGAACCCCAGTTTGCTGTCTAAGCCTTACCCTGAATGTTGGAAGCCTTCCATAGTTGCCGAATTTCCACAATAGCTATATCAAACAGGGTTTACCAGTGGAGTTGTCTCAGTGGGAAGATGAAATTTCAGGACACCATCTGAAAATCATCACATTGAAGTATTTCTTTTTTTCTCCCCTCAACATGTTTTTATTAATTTCTTGGGAATTTCATATAATGCATCCCGATCACACATGCTTCCCATTCCTTCCAGGTCCTTCCCACCCTTGTGCCCCACCCCCAAAGTCCAATTTGTGTTGCCCATATAGTCATTGGAGCCTGGCCAAACTCCCAGTGGCCAGCCCTTTAAAGAGAACTGTGTCCTCCCCTATCCCACTCCCACCCTTCACCAGAAAACATCAAGTGTGAATAGTTACACTTTAGCATCTTCATCATAATTTGTAAGGATTCTTAAATAGCTTCATGTATGGACTGTTTCATTTAGGAGGGTAGGGAAAGAGGTTGGCACAGAAGCCTTCAATGTCTCTCATTAAGTTATGAGTGCAGTCATCGGTCAATACCATTGCAAAAGAAGCTTCTCTGCCTATAGCAGCTGGAGGTATCATGGATCATAGATATCAACATGGTTTTCAGTGGCAGCCCAGATCACGGACATCAACATGGTTTTTAGTGCGCACTATTTATACAGATACCCTCAGAGGGCAGAAGAAGACATTGGAAACCCTGAAACTGGACTTCTAGATAGTTGTAAACTACCAGATGTAGATGTTGGAAACTGAACTTGGGTCCTCTGAAAGAGCAGCAAATGTTCTTAACCACTGAGCAATCTCTCCAAACCTGTTGAATAATTTCTTAGTCTTTTTATTTATGTTGGTGATAAAAATAACTGAAGATTGACCACTGGAAATCCATTTGAACTGGCTCCTACAGCCATGTGATACTACTTTGTCATATCTTCAAGCACTTCTTTGTAATTTGATATTAAAAAGGTTTTCAGAAATTGCAGTACATAAAACCTCTTCTGCCTCGTCCATGGATTGAGTCATTTCTCTGAGGACTTTTAATGGGGACTAGTATTAGAGACCAAGATCTGACACATGATGTGTTCACTGCTATTGGAGTGCTTTGTTTCTTGGTGCTCCTTTTCAGGAGATAGAGCTAAAAAATTTGTGCTTATACTCAGACACACAAATACACCAAACCATATCATTTTATACTGCTTTTATACATGCTCCTATTTCACATTTACATGTTCCTTCATCCACATTAAGACTTACCTTTTTTTTTTTTTTGAAGATTAAAGCACAATTACAGCCAAGTGCAGACCCTTTAAAACACCTGGTAACCACGCCCATAGCCAAATCATCCCATTATGCAGCCCTGCTGGGTAAAGCAAGCTTAGATTCTCTGACCTTAAGTAATTTCGGCCCCCACATGGTGTCTAGAGTTCTCACTCAAGAACTTGTGTGGGATAGAAACTTTGTGCCATAAAGCCCATTATTTTGCATTCATCAAATAAGATTTCCTGGAGAATGTGGTATTTGGGTGGTTGAAAGTTGGATAGGTCAAACATTTGAGTAGGGCATTCCAGGCTAAGATAGTGGTTTCAGGCAATTAGCATTAGCTGTCACAGAATAAAGACTTATACAAGTGCAGGGTTCAACATATAGAAGGGCGTCAAGGTCATTTTTAGTGTTAGTGTAACACATGTTAATAGAAAAAATAAGAAGCAAATGCTAAGTGAGCCTATCATTTCATACTATTTATTAATCATAGCATCTTACTCTTACAGAGCAGAAGAGAAAAGAGATTTGCTCATGTTTTTTCGAAGTCTACGTTTTTTTGTGGAGTTGTATGAATATCGTAAGAACACATTTAATCATTTTAAGGTAAAGTCTGAAGATTTTAAATTTAAATATATATAGAAAATGAAGCTGGTGTTAATTTTGTTGTGATACACTCATAATTTGCTTTCTCTCTTTCTTTCTTTCTTATTTTTTGGAGACAAGGTCTCACTGTAGCTCTGGATTTTCTGGAACTATGTAGACCAGGCTGGCTTCAAACTTACAGACATCTGCTTGACTCTGCCTCTTGAGTGCTGGCATTAAAGGCACGCACTACATACTTGCTTTAAATTTCAAAGAGTAGAGAATATTATCACTAGTTTAATAAATTAGCAGTTATTTGTAATAAATGGGTGATAAGCTTCTGTGTAAATCAATGGATAAATGATATTATGGAATTTTATTATTTTGACTATTCATTATAGTCCCATTTATTTGAAAATTTTATTTTTGAAAATTTGGCCTTTCTGGAGCACATAAAATACAAGAATAAATGCCAGTGAAGAACGTATAGTGCCAGGTGTTGCGGTGCACACCTTTGACCCCCACACTCACAAGGCAGAAGCAGGCAGCTCAGTCTGAGTTTGAGGCCAGCTTGGTCTACATAGTGAGTTTCTGGCCAGCCAAGGCTATGTACACAGTGCCTTAAGCAACCTGTTATATACTGTTACAAAACAATATAATTGTAGCTTCTATGCCAGACTATTTTAAGCTGCTGGATTATTGTACATCTGGAGTATAAATATTGAAGCCTGATTTTTATGAAACAATGCTTTTAAGTCTGATGGAAATATTTCAAAGACTGCTTTTTGAAAACCATTGTTTAGGGACATAAGCAAAAGTTGTTTGCTTGTGTTCTAATCTTTCAGATCCTACTTTTTTCCATAACATTGTTATTAATAGCTGTGAGCCACACAAAAACCTCTCAATGAATCAGCATAAATAATATTTCAAGGTTCCAGTCCTTCAGAAGCCTAACCTATAACTATTATTTTAAAGACTAGTACTAATTCTCCTGTACTTGGGGTTCAGTTCTTTTTTTTAATTATTATTTTATTCATTGTCTTTGATTGAGTTAATAAAACCTGTCAGGAATAAGCCTTTCTCCAGGATGAAAAATGGGCAGTTCCCACATTGCAGTCCCTCAAGTAATTCTCTTGAATTTGTTATATTTTCATTTCTGGGCTCTCTGATTTCTTACATTACTTATAAGTATAACTCTTTGGGTTATTGTATTTTTACAATAAGTCTTGAAGTTTGTAGAAATGAGTCTTTTCTCTTGGTTCTTTTTCAAAATTTTTTTGTTTGTTTATATGGAGTTTTAAATATTCCATATAAATTTTAAGATTATTTTTATGCTTCTGCAAAAAAGCATCACTGATACTTTAAAAGAGATTTCATTGAATCTGGATATTGTTTTATTTTCTTGTTAATATAAAATTTCCAGGCCATGGACAAAGGTGTCTATTCTGTTATGTATGTTGTCTTAGTGTTCTATTACTATGAAGAGACACCATGACCAACTTATAGAAGAAAGCATTCAATTGGAGGCTTGCTCACATTTCAGAGGGTTGATCCATTATCATCATGGCAGGGGTCATGGCAACAGGCAAGCAGTCATGCAGTTGGAGAAGTAGTTGTGAGCTCACATCTGGTGCAGGCCTTGAGAGAAACACTGGGCCTGCATGGGCTTTTGAAACCTTAAAGGTCACCACCCCCAGTGACACACCTCCTCCAGCAAGGCCACGCTTCCTAATCTTTCTTAAAACAGTTTCACTTCCTTTCACTAAGCATTCAAATATATGAGCCAAAGGGGGTTATTTTTATTCAAACCATCACATATGTCTTTTGCTTTTGTGTACTTTTTGCAGTATTTGTAAGGTGTAAATAATTTTTAAAATATCTCATTTTCATCTTATGTGTGTGTATGAGTGTTTTGTTGCACGTTTGTAAGTATACCACATGTTGCTGGTAGAGTCTAGAAGGAGGTGGGTATTGGAGTCCCAAGAACTGGAGTTATTGGTGCTGGCACTAAATTTGGGTCCGTTACAAGAGCAGTAGGTTCTCTTAACCTCTGAACCATATCATCAATCTGTAGGACTTTTCCTGTCCCACAGCCACTCTCAAATAAACACACTGACGCTTATATTAATTATAAATGCTTGGTTGATAACTGAGGCTTATTACTAACTCTTACAACTTAAATTAACCCATTTCTATTAATCTATGTATTGCCACACGGCTTGTGGCTTTACTTGTCCTCCAGCATGTCTTGCTCCCTCTATGTGTCCTGGCAACTCCTGACTCTGCCCTCCTTCCCATCATTTTCGTAGTTAGGTTGTCTTGCTTTTAATTCCTGCCTGGCTATGAGCCAATCAGCTTTTTATTAAACCAGTCCAAGTGACATATCTTCACAGTGTACAAAAGGATTATTACACAGCACCAATCCTGTTATGATTTTTTTTAATTTTAAGACTATTTCTTTAGTTATAATTGTCAAGAATGAAACACCTATATAATAGTATAGAATCAAGAATAATTTTACTTGTGTTGTTTTCCTTGGTCCATTCTGGATCTTATTTTATTTTTCAGTTTAAGGGTGTGTAACAAAGATATAAGCTACCTATGTTCAAATGGTCTTACCTCGAAGTCCAAGTTTTTTAAGTAAACTCTATACTTTAAAATTTTTAGCAATGTTTTCTCCCAAAAATTTTATCTAAACTATTGGTTTTTTTTTCATTTTTTTTAAAAATTATTATTAAGAGATTTTCTATTCATTCTACATACCATTGGGTTTAACTTTAAAAACATTTATAATTTTCTTATGGTATTTTCTCATAAAATTCTATTACAAAAAGACTATGGAAAGCTGGGGATATAGATCAATGGTCTTTTCTAGCATGCACCAGGCACTGTGTTCAGTCCCCAGAACAATACACACCCTCAAAATACCAAACATATTATGTGTGTTTGTATGCATGTGTATATGAGTACATTTTTCTTCTGAAAGTCAGAAAATTAATAGACATCCCTATACTTTGTCCATTGTCTCAGTCTTGTCACTTTATTTCCATTGATTTATTCAAGATTATATTAATTTGTTTTTTCCATATTAACAGTACCCTTCTATTTGGATAGATTTTACAATGTTTATTGTATATTTAATTCAAATGTGCTATTAGGTACCATAAAAGTGTAAAAGTAGAACTCTGTTAAGTACTCCTGGTAAGCTTTCAGTCACAGAGAAACTGAGGCATGCACACAAAATGACACAGTAGGATAAAGTTACTATAATTAAATTATCAAAGTGAATGAACTAGTAAACAGTTTAGAGTAATAGTTGTGACCTTACAGGTCCCAGGTGCTTTAATAAAGTTTCATCTGGGGTCAGCCTTAACAAATGAATGAGAGGGCGGTCAGTCTGCGTTGGGGCAAAACACCAAATGCTTGAGTGTTCTAGAAAAAGCATGCAGATTCTAACATGTACCCTATAATGAAAATGACATTGGGACTTTTATATATAAAGGTGGATATTTCTAAAACACTGATAATTTTGTGTTCAACCCCAAAGTAATATGTAGACTAATATTTGTTAGTGGGCTGTGCACCTTCCTCTGAAGATTAAATTAGGAACTTTAGTCTGCGTTGTTCAGTTATCACTATTAGACTGAAGATTAGGTTTTCTCTGTTAATATATCTGGAAATCATGGCCGTTGAGAAATGGTGCTCATGGACTGGATTGTAAATATTGAGCTTGTTTGGGTGAACGTGTATACAGTTGAAGCTCTACATACAGCACAACAGAATAGACTTTAAATTTCTTATATTTGAATGAATTTATTGATGAAATTATTCCTATACTGTGAAAAGTTTACACTTAATTCATATTTGAGAATCTTTAGAGTGAAGGAATCTTACTATTCTTTGAGAAATGGGTAGAATTTTGATTTTTTTCTTACAAATTTTTTTATGTAATTGACTGAAGACTATCTATGTGACCACAAAGCATAAAACTGAACTTTTCTAAATTGGTTCTATACCAAAGAGTAAAATTTTACTTTATCTGGAAAATTTTGCCTAGATGTGACTACTGTTTTTCATGGGATAAGTGAGAAATACAGTAGAATAGCTGCCTTAACAGAAAGAAAGTTGCTGCTTTATGGAGAATGTCGATGAATCATAAAGTCAATGGAAGGTCACTTGGAACACTTGGCTTTTCACAGTTTTTTAGAACATCTGCCCTAAATGCTTTTGAGATACAGTAAATGTTAAGACAAACAGTTGAAAGTTTCTTGGAATTCTCTTACTTCATTAGTCATGGGAATAGCGTATCTCATACTAGTGTTTGTATAAAAGCATGCTATTTAGATGGCAGTCTAGTGTAAACTACAAGGAGCTTTTAATGCTGTTTAGTTTCACATCATTTTGTTTTGAAACTAAGAGATTCGGTCTGGATTATTTTTGTAGTTACATATAAGAATTTTGGACGTCTTTGTTTAAACAAAATTCTGTCATAATGAGATAAAATGATAATATTAAACTACTGTTTATGTTCCTTTAGACATTAGGTACACTATTTTAGATTATAAACTGCATTGATGGTGTTTAAAAGTATGACCCTGTAGGTAATCTTTTTAAGCAAATAAAACTGTTTGGATGCTTTCCCAGAGCAATTGGATTGCCCTCCAGGCGAATCTCTTCAATACGGTCCCGAATGTAACGAGTGTCATTAGCCTTGCAGAATGTATCATCTGTAATTGAAGATATGCTGTTAAACTGAAAAATAAAAGGAAAAATACTCAGAAATCTCAAATCAACCTTTTGTACATTATACACAGGATCACACAGGATATTTTGCCTAAAATGTGATCTTTTTAAAAAATATTAGTTCACAGTAATAACCCTCTCTTGCAAACTGAACATACTTTTAAGTGTACAGTATTTTTTTTGGAATAATAGTCTACTTGTTATTACTCCAAGTAGCATCTATTCAGTATTGTTTGAATATAAATAGAAACATGCAAGCTAGAGAAAGTATCCCATTC